GACATCGACAAACTGAATCATCCAAGACTTTCAACAAAAATCAATTTTATGATAAACTCAATTGTGAACATTTATCAGATAATGATTATGGGAGAGCTCAACTTGTTTGGAATTTGTTCGAATGTCAGGATTTGGGTGAATACTCCGATTTATATTTAAAGTCAGATGTGTTACTATTATGTGACATTTTTGAAAACTTTAGAAATATATCTGATGATAAATATGAATTGGATCCGGCACAATACTTCACTGCACCCGGTTGATCGTGGGATGCCATGTTGAAATATACTAATATTGAATTGGAATTACTAACTGACATTGATATGGTTCACTTCTTTCAAAAAGGTATTCGTGGTGGAATCAGTCAATGTATTGAAAGGAACATAAAGCAAACAATAAATTTTTATCGAATTTTAATCCAAATAAACCATCTTCATTCATTTCATATTTGGATGCAACAAATCTATATGGTCACAGCATGTCACAATCATTACCAACAGGTGAATTTTCATGGTTAACACCTCATGAAATTCTCAATCTTGATATATTGAATGTGGATGTTGATAGTTCTTATGTGTATGTATTGGAAGTAGATATATATTATCCCCAAGAAACTTCACGATAAACATTCCGATTTTCCATTCTTAGTTGAACGTTTGATACCTCCATATGCAAAATCGAAAGTCCCCAAAATAATTCCAAATTTAAACGATAGAAGAAAATATATTGTTGACTATAGAAACTTACAGCAAGCTGTCAATCATAACTTGATAGTGATGAACACACATAGAGTATTGAGGTTCGAGCAATCATATTGGATGAAGCCCTATCTAGATTTGAATACTGAAATGCGTAATACGTCAAATAACAAATCTGAAAAAGATTTCTACAAACTAATGGATAATGCAGTCTATGGAAAACGTAGACAATAGAATTGATGTTAGACTCATCACACATTGGGAAAATATAAAAAGAACTATAGGTGCTAGTTGTCTCCTATCGCGACCAAATTTTAAAAAATGCTCCATTTTTACTGAAAATTTTGTTGATATTCAATTGGCTAGAGTAGAAGTTCATTATGATAAACCACTGTATTTGGGATTTTTCATTCTGGAATTATCCAAAACAGTTATGTATGATTTTTTTCTATGGATGTATCAAACAACAGTTTGGAGAAGATGCGTCCTTACTCTACACTGATACCGACTCCCTTATTCTCAAAGTAAATACAGACAATTTCTATGAATTTATCAAAAATAATATGAATAAGTTCGATACATCTAATTATAAAATGCGAAACCAATTCAATATCCCAGTGACAAAGTCAGGATGAATTCCCAAATGATCCAATAATCAGCTTTTACGGTAAAGGTGCTAAAGCGTATTATGTGAAATCTATTGATGGTGAACTGAAGAAGGCCAAAGGCGTCAAACGATCTGTTATAAAGAATAAATTGACATGTGAAGACTATGAAAAAATCATCGAAGAAGGAGGTATGATATTCAGGAAGATGAACTCATTCAGAAGCTTATTACATGATATTGACTCTGAATTGAAAAATGAAGTCGCATTATCATATCACGACGACAAAAGATTCATCATTCCGAATACCACTCGAACTCTCCCATGGGGTCATAGCGATATAGAGTTTTATCGAAATGATCCTAATGACAACTATCGTTGGGTGTCTGAAATCGTTCATTCTTTATCTCAAGAGAGCGCCTTAGACCAACTGATTGATTTATCGACTGTTGAGATTAATAACTGAATTATCATCCGAAGTGTTGTTGCTTTTTCCTTCAAACCGGAACATTCATTATTTGTGATTATTCCATTATGATTTTTTTACATTGAAGTATTACTTTTGTCAAGTTACTTGATGAATATAAAAATGATTAAAAAAATGTTATTTGTTTTACTTATATTTTTCCTAACCAATTACTGCAACGTATATAGCATAATGTGAATGAAATAAATATCAATTTGAAAAGAATCATCGTAGGGTGCACAATGTCTAAAACGATAGATAAGTTTGGTAGAAGAAGAAAATGGGGTGGTAATGTCATTCGATGTCCTCCCGGGAATGGATTCAAATCAACAAAAGATGGTCATTATGACATGCAAAGAAAAATATTGAAAAATACAAGCGAACCAATTGACAAGAGTGATTGTGTAACTGTATCATATCTTGAGAGGGAAATTAATGGAACAAAAGAGGTCATACTTCCAGCCCTACAAGCTGCAATACAATCCACAATTGGAAATGTTGCTCGCGATGCACGTCAATCATTCGTTGATAAAATTGCAGAGGCTCGGATAACTTTGGCTCGTAAATATGACAATCTAAAAAGTGATGTAGAAACAAAAATTTCCGACATAACAACATCTACAATGGAAAAATATGATGCATTGGAAGAGAGAGTTGTAGTTTTGGAGAAAAACCATACAGTCACATCATCAGGTGGACTGGGGTATCCAGGACTGAACAATAATCCAAATGTTAGAATAATAGAACCAAAACCAAATCCAACAGATGACATATTAATTGAACGGGCATGGTGAATGCATTCCGCGCGCGAATTAGGTTAGGTTAGATTAGGATAGGTTAGGTTAGTTCTGGAGAAACGTTAGGTTAGGGTAGGTTAGGGTAGGTTAGATTAGGGTAGGTTAGGTTAGTCCTGGAGGAACGTTAAGTTAGGTTAGGTTAGAGAAACATTACGTTAGGTTAGGGAATGCATACCGCGCGCGGTATGCATTCACTATGTGGAGAAGGTCTGTCAACGACAGACTATTGAGAAGTACCTAGTTACTTGCAATAAGACTAATCTTCATGCAGGTAATTGGCCGATCACTCGTAAGAGCTTAAGACCCTCCATGCCGCCCGCAGCCGCAACAGTGAAAACACCGAGGGCGGCTTGTGTTCTCAAATCACTTGTAAATAATCTATTGAGAAAAAAATGAAAAAAAAAGATATGTTTCATAATGAAATCAACAAGTATAATTTCATATAATTCATATTGTATTTTATCCATTCAATTATCTCTTTCATTGAATATAGCTTATGTCATTTTACAATTCATTCCCACTTAATCCCCACTCCTCTCCACTCCTCCCCCACTCCCTTCCAAAAGTATAAAAGTAGGAATCATCTGTTGGAATATTCAGTTGATCACTCACCTCCAATATGGAACCTGACCCAACTAGTGAACCATATAGCGTTCAGGAGCCTCAGACACCATTTTGGATGCCGATTTTTGAGCCCTTCGTCCACTCGACGGCGGCACCTCACAGGGCCGAATATGATGACACGACATACGATTATAGATTTCAGGTGCAATTTGTTACCGGCAGTGATGAGGCACACCTTTCAGATAATGAATATCCGGACCCAAACGATTGGCGGGATCCCGATTGGGATGACCTAGTGCCTGGGGACAGCGATGATGATGATGACGACGAAGATGCTGGCGATGATGCTGCTGATGAGTCTGAGGATAGACGTCCTCCGTCATCCCCAATCCTCATCGAAGATAGTCATCCACCATCCCCCATGGTGTCCTCAATTCAGATGATGATTTCTAATCATTTCCTTGTTTCTTCTATCATTTCCTTTCCTTTCCTTCCACGGAGTACACACTTTTTGGTTGGTGTACACGAGGCACTGCGAGGCTGGGGCAGTGTCTTCCTTCCTCTCCCTTATAGTTTTTTCATAATAATCACTCAGAATTTCTCATAAAAATCGCTTAGAGTTTCATGAAGATCGTCATTCTTGATGTTTCCGAATATCAAACACTGAATTGTTCTACATTTACACTTCACCCCCTCCGTTATATTTTTTCCAATATAAATATAGTATCAAATCAGTTCTACATCATTCTTCCACAATGTCGAGTACAGGACCCGTCCAGGGTCATGAAATAGATTCAACGTCCGATCATTTCAGTACAACCCTCGCTCAATTTCTGCAGCGAATCTATGATCTTCCTGATGATTTCCCAGAACGAGTAGAACAAGGTATGCAGGAGGAAGTAGATGTAGAGTTTGAGATGTTGACGACAACAATCTAGATGATTATGCGGACGATGTGATTAGTATATCATCTGATTCAGATGATTATGACGACGACATCATGAGTATACCATCTGATTCAGATGATTATGAGGACTATATCATTAGTATATCATCTGATTCAGATGATTCAGATGACGACACCATCATTATTGTTTCTGATGATGAGGAGCGTTAGTCCATATCATTGCATGGATTAATAAAAAAACAGCCCTTTTCAGGGCTACAATTGAAGACTGAAACAAAAAAAAAAGCTCTTTTCAGAGGTATCATTATACTTTCAAACAGAAACAGGTTCATAGCATTGTTAACATTATGTTACCATTATAGTCTCAAACAAACAAAATGAATGTATAAGTATCATCATCCCACTCTGTAGTACTCATCATTATATGCATTCAATTATTGACAAAATGCCAACTTCAACTTTCATTTAAAGTAGTACTCATCATATGCATAGATAGTCAATGACTAATTCCCAACTTCGACTTTTCAGTCAAAGAAGTAATTTGTCATATAATGCACAAATATTCAAAGACTAACAAATTTTCAACTTGAACTTTTTATTAGTCAAAAGTAATCATTTGTCACATAATGTGTGAATACTTACTACAATTAACTACTGTTTGTGTGAATAATGTAGCCCTGAAAAGGGCTGTTGTTTTTTTTGACCAATAGGTCCAGGGTTATTCTGCCACAGGTTTCACATTATTGCATATTATGCAAGCTGATACTCTTGTGAAATTTGTGAGCGGCCTTTCACATGCCTCACACCAATACTGACCCAGCTGCATCATAGAGACCGTATCATGGGTGTTTACATGTTGATACCAGCCGCCGTTATTGTTCCGTATCGAGTAAAATCGAAAACAGCATCAACATAACTTTTTGATGTTGCCATTAATCGTTCGGATCTGCACATGCGCGTCAATCACGCAATGTTGAGCATTCGGAGACCGATTCTCAAAGCATCATCACCTTCAGAATAAACAGCTATAATCCCTTCATCATCGCCTTCACCATCCACGATCAACTCATCGACCATGTCATCATCTTCATCGCTCTCATTAGCCTCGTTTTCATTAGCCTCATTTTCAACTTCGTTGACTTCAAGGTCAATCTCCCCTCCATCGACTCCAACACCTTCTTCAACTATCACTTCCTCTAGCTGAATGTTGGCATCCTCATCATTTGACTCGTCTATCCAATTATTTGCATCAATGGCAGATATTCTGTTAATTGCAGTAACTATTTTTCGAGTATTTATCTTGATGTTTTCTCACAGTTGCAGATTGAATAAATGAACTTCAGGTTCGCAAATCGACTTATATAATTGTATAGGTAGTGGTGGTGGTACGACTCCCACTTATCACTTGACTCGTTTTGAGTGGAAGAGAAGGAGAAGTTATCCCACTATACATGATGTTAATTTGTATAAATAGAGAATGTCAGTATAGGAGAGAGCAGTCAGAGTTTCTATAAGTCATCTCTTGATATTTCTATTCGAATTAGTAAAATGCCGTTTCCAAAAGAGTGGAATGAAAAACCCAAAGTGTGTGTCTACCCAATGATGATTGCAGGGGCTATTGTGTGCTACTTTTGCCAAATGAGTAGACCTAAGGAAGCAATCAATCCATGTACTGGTATATGTAGTGATTGTGTGTCGCGGATTCAACTATCGCCTCCATCTCATCCACCGAAGCGGACAAAATCTGATTATCGTCAACAACAGTTACAGTGCCTGAAGTGTTCCAAACCTATAATATTGAATAATATAGGTATTTGTAGAAATATTTGTGGTACCTGTCCTGTCGTTCCAGCTCCGCTGCAATGTTGTTTGCGTTGTGATACATATTCTATGAATTGCTGGAATCATGTATGCACTACATGTAGAAGTACTTGGGATTTATGTGAGAAGGTTAGTCAACTCTACCCAAATAGGAGAACTCATTTTTATCAATGTTGGTGTCTGATACATGAACAACAAATATTGAGGAGTAGAGTGAAAGAACATTCCACATCAACAGCGACACATTAACACTTTTGATTTTTATTACCGTTATTGTCCTCTGTTATTAATAAATATATTATTTTGAATTCATTCGTATTATTTTCTCTCATTTTAAAAATGCATGCAACACAGAGTGTTCCTCCTAAATGACGAAGAACGTCACATGCGTGAACAGTTTTGTGAAAGAGCGCATGCGCCAGTTGATGAAAGAGCGCATGCGCTAGTTTATTTTCTTCTATAAAAGGTGAAGTATCAGTAACATCATTACCTTTCCTATTCATATTCTATTGCTATCACATATCATTTCTCAGTCCTAAATAATCATTATCATGAGCTCTATGCCGTTGTTGATTGCTGGAGATGGTTCACCACTTGTTGATATCGATCACACTGATTTTGAAAATATTGCAGTATTACATTTATCGAGTCACGATTCGATAAATGATTTTGATATCAACGACTTCGTTAACTTTGCAAATGTACCGGAACCAAATGAGCAAATTCTTATTAAAAATCCAATCGTTTCGCAATCATCACCACTCAGACACCCTTCATCTACCCTTCCTCTTGGTGTTGATAAGAAATCTAGAACAATCAAGAGGAAGGTTACCAATGCATCTTCATCGATTGTCACTGACTTCAGAGAAAAGAAACAATCGAAAAGTGTTGTGCGAGTGAAAATACCCACAACGAAAAGTGACAGATCGAAGAGGAAGCCAAAAGGTTCACCTAAAGAAATGAAGGGTGATTTGAAAGCTGAATTGATTTCTTCTTCAAGTCCTCTACATCGGTTTGGAGAAATGAGAAAGAAAGCAAAATGCCGCCTTGTAAAGGCGCAGATGGCTATTGCTGAACTTGAAATGAGTAAAACTCATAATAAGGAAACTCTTGAAGCATTAGATGCTAAGATTGCATCAGCGAAGGTTGAATTGGCTAAAATGTGTACAGATGCAGATGAACTCCGTTCATAAATTGTTAAAGATAATTAATTCAATCAACGTTCGAGAATGCAAGCTCAGGTAGAGCTTGAGGAGTCGACTCAACTTTATGAGACGGCATTATCAGTGAGAGATAATTGGCGAAAAGAGTTGGAGAGTGCATTTCAATGTGACGTCGTTCAGTTTTGGGAATGATGATGTGTTTTCAATATCGTGAGTTGAAAAATATAAGCGGGAATGGAGTATACAATTAATTTGGTTTGGTATACACAGAACGTTGCGACGTTTACTGCTGCAATAATTTTCAATTCATATACTTATAAATTGAAATGAAAACAATAATTAACTTCAACATTACTTTATTCATAAATACAATAGTAGATACATTTAAATCATATTTGATTCATCAATTCAAGAATTTTGTTCGCTAGGAAAGCCTAACCACTTTACATATACTTTATTTTTTCTTTTCTTTAACACCTTCTCAATCAGATATACGTCAGGATTTTTGGTTCGTAATAACTATTCTCCGTAAAAACATCCTCTAATAGGTTGTTCATTCATATCTTCAAGATTATAGGTCATGGGGGTGGTTTTATTGATTTTAACAATCTTGAAGAGCTCCGTGGTAAAGTTCGCAGTGTAAGACATTTTAAAAATATTTTTTCACTTGCTTATATGTACAATATCATTCAATTGGAATTTGGGTTTACTTTGTTTTTCTCCAATTCCTTTGATACCTTTGAATTTCAATTTTGATGTTGAATCAACATTGATGGGTACCATACTTATTATGCGATGAACTTTATTGTTATATCTACTAGCTATAGTCGAAAGAATATCAAGCCATTTGTGGTGACCTCTCATCGAAAATTCCTTGTAGAGCCATGCCTTTATTGTACGAATCACTTTTTCTGCTATAGCCGCCTTATTTGTGCTAAATGTTGAATAATGATTAATATTATATTCTCGCATGGGAGATGAGAAGCTTCTATTGAAAAATTCTTTCCCTTGATAGCTTTGTATATGTTTGGGGAAAAATTTGGCTTCCTTCAGTACATGTTTCATTGCATTAGTAATTGTACTACCTGTTTTATCTTTAACTGCTACAGTCCACAAATATTTTGAGTAACAATCAATCACTACAAGTATATATCGGTATCCTTCATTACTTTTTGCATAAGGTTGTAGTTCTAGGCTAGTGTAGGCTAGATCTATTTGCCATAGATCAGCAAAACCTTTGATGGTGGTTATTCTCCTACGAAAATTACGTCTTAAGGTCTATTCATTAACAACTTGTCGTTTGACATCACTTATTTCACTAGTCATTCTATTTCAAAATGATTAAAAGGAAAAGTTGATAATGTTACTGCATTGAATGAAGATATGATAGTGATCATTACTTGTGGATATATCAATGTATTATAATTTCTTACCGTTTTTCGTGCGTTTTCGATCGTTTTCCGTATGTTTAGACACCAACAAGTCTTGAAATGACACGAACAAGTCTTGTAAATCAGTTTGAAGAACCACTATAAAATGTTAGGGTATATAATTCAGAATGACTTTCAATAATTTCTCAACAAAATTATACAGAGTGACACCACAAAAAATGTTAGAGTGTACAATTAACAACGTTTTTCAATAACTCCTCAACAAAAGTATACAGAGTGACACAACAAACCTCGTACATCGGTTTTTGAACTCCACTATAAAATTTATAACATCAATATAAAAATTATACAGAGTGACAAAAATAGGTTCGTAAAAATTTTTTTTTGGAATCCCATCATGTCTAAAAATTGAACAAATCACCAACATATTGAGAATGAGTGATTTCGAAATGTTAATATTGTAGATATTTGAGTCATACGAAGAAAGGTGTGGATATATGTGGGTGTATTTGTTAACACTGTACACCTTGATGAAGAATTGATAATATTTGAATAAAACAAAACATAATAGTGTTTTCATTGGCCAACATCAATCTTTGAGTGGATAATGAAAAGTGTTTTCAGCTACATGGCGAGTTTTTATTCAAATATTGGTAATTTCAATTAAAATGTTCTATTTTTTTAAATCCGTAAGGTACAGAATCGAAATTTTCAACACGTTTTCGTTTGGTAAAGTTGGTTCGAAAGACTTTCGTGACATCTTTTGTGATGACAGAGTGATCAGGATTCCTTAAAATATTTTTTGTTGTTATATACTCGTCGGAAGCGTTTTCGTTGATAACCATGTCTGTGAGTTTTTCTAAATTAGCTTGCTTATACGTGTTATAATTCAAGATGATCCCTTTGACTTTGATTATATCAAATGTTTTATTCCGCATTGGGGAATATACACGATATGCGTATAATTTTGGACCACCAGAGACAAAGTCTGTTATGTAGCTACCATTTCCATATTCAGACAATTCATCATTCATTTCACCTAAAAAACTACCTAAAAGTACATCATACATTCCGGGACGTGAAATAAAAGTAACTGAATCTGTATTGTGACACAAAACTCTTATATCTAGTTTTTCCATATATTTATATGATTCTAGTCTTGCTTGGGCTGTAGTATATGCAGCCAGCACAACGTTAACAGTTGAAAGAGGCTTATAAGCTTCATCTTTGAAAGTCCAATTGACAATTAAAGTGTTTTCATTCACTGGAAAAATGCTGTTCACTACAATGAATGGTTTTGATAACATGTCAAAAAGTTCAGCAGCCTCAGAAACTATGGAAGTTTTTTGTTGGTTTTCCCTTCGACCTAATTTTCCCCAAAAACTTGTTATAACACTTTTGCCAATTTGTCGACGTCCTGGATTGAATTCAATTTCTTTGGCACACAAGGTAACACCCTCTTTGTCATAGTAATCTTGAATATATTTATTTTTTTGTTGTTCTGATATACAATCGGAGGGCCAACCTGAAGCTTGTTGTTTGATTTTCAAAAACTTGGAAATATATTCAGAAAATAGACCGCCTGACTTGATAGCAGGGTCATATTGTACAACTTTGTATTTCCAGATTTCATAGATTTCCATGAGTTTGTACCCTTTTTCCAAAGCTTTTAAAACCTCATCTATCACCCAAGTACCGGAGAGAGCCCGTTCTTCTTCACATATGTGAGTACATTCAACAGCCATATGTTCACAACACGATCGACAAAGGGGAAACATCAATTTGCCATTCATTTTCACCGGTAATACGGGGTGATATAGGTTTTGAGGAGGAAGAACTTTACATTTTATAATTCCATCAACGTCATTTAAATTCAAAGTATTACATTCTTCCCCAACAAAAACTTCCGGGTGTCCTACAGGGTACTTTCCGTATTTATTTATGAATGGATATAGGCTGCACACATCGACGTACTTGATTTTTTCACCTTCTTTACATTTGTAATATAATTTCGTAGCATCAGTTCGGCCACCATAGAAAGCATCACGGGGATTCAAAGGTAATTGAGCGAGTAAGGGGTGTTTTTCGGTGAAAATACACAATTCTGGATTTTCCAAAAGCTCTTTTCGANGATTTTTTTCTTATCTGTGGCTTTGTCTGCATATGCTTTAGCAACCACCAAAGCTCTAGCAAGACAAAGATGGTCATTATTTTTAATCACTATAATTCCCTGGCGTTTGGCACATTCTTCGTCAAATGTATTATATTTTCCTTGACCTTTGGGCATTTTCACAGTAGTAGCCCCAAGACAAAAAGTCTCAGTATCTAAACCTGTCGAGTTCGACTGATAAACAGAGCATATCATATTCCATATGTCCTCATACGATACTTCGGAAACGGGCTTGAATTGTAACCATCCTTCACCACGGCTAAACTCTTTCGAGCAAAATGTAAAACCGACTTGGTCCGTAACTTCTGCATCTTGTGTTACTTCTTGTACAATCTCTTTTATGCTATTTTTCGTACAAATAAGAGGATCTACACCCTTGGGTGCGGGTTTGGAAATTTTTGAGAAATTTAAAATTCTACTCGAAGCGCGATCTTATCAGATGATACTGTAAGAGCACAATGAGCTCATCCCTAGCGCGCTATCATTTTTATAAAGATAAAAAGTGGGCGTGGTCTAAAGATGTCATGTGATTATTTTCTCGAAAGTGTTCCAACCTAAATTTCGAAATTACCGAATATTAGTATATATATATAAATGATTCTCGGGTGTAGACAGGCAACTTTTGTTCGAGTTATCACTTGTCGTTTTACAGCTATAAATATCCTTTAGAATTTATTCCGGAAAAATACTATGCATGTTATGTGTACTTGATTATAAATTTCAGAAATTCATTTTGTGTTGTGGTTTTTAGAATCTGGACGAGTTTATCACGTAGGGTGTGGCCACATCGAAAGTTGAGCGTTGGCTTAGTCCATTATGAGGGGGGTTTCTGTCAAAGTTCCAGTAAATACGACGAATTCATTTCACACGAGGTGTGGTCGCATCAAAAAGTTGGATATGACGACACGGATTACAGGTTTTGACAAGTTCAAGGTAAATATTTTGCTATTTCTGTGTGACCTATTTTTTCGATTTTTTCATATCAGAGTTTTCATCTGTTGTGAAACCACTTCACAATACTCGGTGAATCGAGATATCGTGTATGGTTTAAAGCGATAAATATTCTCATGAATAATATTATCTCGATTATAAATTTCAGAAACTAAAACTACATTCAGGACGAATTATACATTTTATAATTCCATAAACGTCATTTAAATTCAAAGTATTACATTCTTCCCCAACAAAAACTTCCGGGTGTCCTACAGGGTACTTTCCGTATTTATTTATGAATGGATATAGGCTGCACACATCGACGTACTTGATTTTTTCACCTTCTTTACATTTGTAATATAATTTCGTAGCATCAGTTCGGCCACCATAGAAAACATCACGGGGAATCAAAGGTAATTGAGCGAGTAAGGGGTATTTTTCGGTGAAAATACACAATTCTGGATTTTCCAAAAGCCCTTTTTTAAAAGAACACTCCCATTTTTCTATGACTTCATAGTCAAGTTGTCGCAAACGTGCAGTCAAGGTTGCATCAAAACGCATTTCTATAGTAACAGTAGGGTCTTCGAAAGTGTGGTCATTGCGTTTATATTTTATACATTTAGGACATCCGTGGAAATAACAACCATGAAACTCGAAAATTTGTTTTGTTTTCTCACAGAAACCATCCACTTTCATATTGAATATGGATGCTTCAGACCCTCGACCAGCATGCTGAATCTCAATACCTCTTTGTCTTTCTTCCCACAGCAGCCATTGGACGGCTATTTTCGACTGATTGTCACACCATCTATATCCATTTTTAGGTATGAGACCTATGGTATTGGATTTCAAAAAGTTTCTCCTGAATATTTTGTTACACGCACCTGGTAATGTAATGGCCTCTGTGAAAGGATCCACGCCGCCTTCTTGTATCATCAGTTCTCTGAACTTGAGACATGCTCGAGACAATATATCCACATCACTTTGACAATATTCCACCAGTTCTTTCTGAAAGTCAAAGACATAGCCTTGTTCAGATAATTGTTTATGCCATTCAATGAGTTGTTTTTTAGGGTCCTTGTCTTCTTCGAGATTGGTTGTATATTTGATTGATTCTGGGTCATAATATCCTAGAGCAGGTAGTGGTCCAACATAATTCCAGTTTTCAGCTTTATTGAAAAGGTGTGGGAAGTAACCCTTCTTTACACCATCCAGCCCAAAAGCCTTGGGTAATTTAGCTAAAGGCATCGGGAAATAATTGAGCGAATCGATAAATTTCACATTTTCTACAGACATCAACAACAGTTTCGTTCCCTGGATTATCAACTCTGCTTTCAGATTTGTTGATGTCAGTAAATAGTTCAAAAGGAATTGGTTGTCATATAGACCTGAGGCATGCCCAACAACAATAATTTGTTTGAATTGTACACGTTGATTCATTACGTACTCCATGAACCGGTCCACAGGTTGTATCTTCAAAACTTGTTTTCTGACACCACAACAGCATACTTTTATGTTTCTACCCAGACAATTTTCACAGTGTTGCTGATATACACACAGATTGGGTTTATGTCGTAAAGATCCATCTGATAATATTTCTTCTTGAGTACTTTCCAGGTCGTAAAATATGGAAAGTACTCTTGACATTGATGGTTTGCCATTATCCACAGACATGAAGCATTTGTGTGGAGTAGCTTTGAATTCTTTACATAGTTTACAAAAAACTTCCCCACAAACATGTTGTCTGTTTTTAGAAACAGTTTTAAGGCACTTTTCACAAAACCTTATCTGTTCACAGATCTTGGCAGTTTTATGATTGTCAAAACATTCTTGGCCCCTAAAAAATCTGTTACAAGCGGTACATAATATTTTCTTTTCGTTGTGGCAGGGGGGGCTTTGCTGACATGCTGGACAAGTTTGGTTACACTTGTGTTTCTCCTTATGATCGAAGGGTACGTGGCATGCTTCACAGTAATTCTTACAACAGAATGCAAAAGTCAGCGAAACTATTACATTGTAGTGGTTATTGTGATGTAAGAGGTTGATTTTTTTTTAGTCCCGCCAACACCCTCGTAAATGCGACCTTTATTTCCATATTCATATACTGTGATTGTGTAATCTGACAAATGATCCTGGAATTTTTTGAGTTCGCTTATGCCGCCACCCTCTTCGGGTATATCCACACCACTCTTCTCCAACCTAAATTTCGAAATTACCGAATATTAGTATATATATATAAATGATTCTCGGGTGTAGACAGGCAACTTTGTTCGAGTTATCACTTTTCGTTTTACAGCTGTTTCCAAATGTAACTGATATATCAATCGCAAACGTGTTATGATTTCGATATATTTTGAAGTAATAATATTTAATATTGAACGAATAGTCATGAAGAAAATTATTTGCATTGTATACCGAAAGCTTTGGACACCGAATGAATTCCTCAATACCTGTTGATGATCTTGACCTTCCCTAATATTTATAAACATTCATATTATGCTGAAGTTGTAACTTTGCCCCCGGTCACCGAGACCTTGCTCAACTCACTTCTTACTATACTGGTAAAATGGTATTCGTTACGTGTTCAGAGATAGAGTTGTCCATAAACTCTCTACTACCTACTACTTACATGTTGTTGAGTTTTACCTGAGTTCTTCTTAGTTAACCTCATCTCCCCGTTAAGGTATCGAATATGAAATCTGAAGTTTTCACGGAAAGATATTCACCGGAACTTGACAGAACCTGGATACCTTACTCCCTCTCTTATAATGCACTGGTCAGACACCTAACTTTGATGTGACCTCACCTTATTTTTCAGTGTATAATAGACTAGTCGTCATAACATCAGAACTTGGTGAAAATAGGATACTTCACACCCCCTCATAGTGGACTGGTCTGGAGCCATACTCAACTTTCGATGTGACCACGCCCTACTTGATAAACTCGTCCTGAATGTAGTTTTAGTTTCTGAAATTTATAATCGAGATAAAAGACCCAATATTATTCATGAGAATATTTATCGCTTCAAACCACACACGATAACTCGATTCACCGAGTATTGTAAAGTGGTTTCACAACAGATGAAAACTTTGATATGAAAAAATCGAAAAAATAGTTCACACAGAAATAGCAAAATATTTACCTTGAACTTGTCAAAACCTGTAATCCGTGTCGTCATATCTAACTTTTTGAAATTTTTAATTGTTAAAGATACGGTGAAGAAAATTCGTAAATTCAATTTGGCTGGTAGAACTTTAGAGTTCAAACTCAAACCCGCACCCAAGGGTGTAGATCCTCTTATTTAGACGAAAAATAGCATAAAAGATATTGTACAAGAAGAAACACAAGATGCAGAAGTTACGGACCAAGTCGGTTTTACATTTTGCTCGAAAGAGTTTAGCCGTGGTGAAGGATGGTTACAATTCAAACCCGTTCCGGAAGTAACGTATGAGGACATATGGAATATGATATGCTCTGTTTATCAGTTGAACTCGACAGGTTTAGACACTGAGACTTTTTGTTTCGGGGCTACTACTGTGAAAATGCCCAAAGGTCAGGGAAAATATAATACATTTGACGGAAAATGTGCCAAACGCCAGGGAATTATAGTGATTGAAAATAATGGCCATCGTTGTCTTGCTAGAGCTTTGGTGGTTGCTAAAGCATATGCAGACAAAGCCACAGATAAGAAAAAAATCCGAGAGGTCATGAATGTGCAAACGTGTCTTACCCTAGATTTGTTGGAGAAGAGTGGTGTGAATATACCTAAAGAGGGTGGCGGCATACGCGAACTCAAAAAATTCCAGGATTATTTGTCAGATTACACAATCACAGTATATGAATATGGAAATAAAGGTCGCACTGTTATTTACGAGGGTGTTGGCGGGACTGAAAAAATCAACCTCTTACATCACAATAACCACTACAATGTAATAGTTTCGCTGACTGCTGCATTCTGTTGTAAGAATTACTCTGAAGCATGCCACGTACCCTTCGATCATAAGGAGAAACACAAGTGTAACAAAACTTGTCCAGCATGTCAGCAAAGCCCACCCTGCCACAACGAAAAAAAAAATTATGTACCGCCTGTAACAGAGGTTTTAGGGGCCATGAATGTTTTGACAATCATAAAACTGCCAAGATCTGTGAACAGATAAGGTGTTGTGGAAAGTGCCTTGAAACTGTTCCTAAAAACAGACAACATGTTTGTGGGGAAGTTTTTTGTAAACTATGTAAAGAATTCAAAGCTACTCCACACAAATGCTTCATGACTGTAGATAATGGCTAACCATCGATGTCAAGAGTACTTTTCAAATTTTATGACCTGGAAAGTACTCAAGAAGAGATAGTATAAGATGGATCTTTAGGACATAAACCCAATCTGTGTGTATATCAACAACACTGTGAAAATTGTCTGGGTACAAACATAAAAGTATGCTGTTGTGGTGTGAGACAACAAGTTTTGAAGATACAACCTGTGGATCGGTTCATGGAGTACGTAATGAATCAACGTGTACAATTCAAACAAATTATTGTTGTTGGGCATGCCTCGGGCCTATATGACAACCAATTCCTTTTGAACTATATACTGACATCAACAAATCTGAAACCAGAGTTGATGACCCAGGGAACAAAACTGTTGTTGATGTCTGTAGAAAATGTGAAATTTATCGACTCGCTCAATTATTTCCCGATGCCTTTAGCTGGATTACCCGAGGCTTTTGGGCTGGATGGTGTAAAGAAGGGTTACTTCCCACACCTTTTCAATAAAGCTGAAAACTGGAATTATGTTGGACCACTACCTGCTCTAGAATATTATGACCCAGAATCAATCAAATATACAACCAATCTCGAAGAAGACAAGGACCCTAAAAAACAACTCGTTGAATGGCATAAACAATTATCTGAAGAAGGCTATGTCTTTGACTTTCAGAAAGAACTGGTGGAATATTGTCAAAGTAATGTGGATATATTGTCTCGAGCATGTCTCAAGTTCAGAGAACTGATGATACAAGAAGGCGGCGTGGATCTTTTCACAGAGGCCATTACATTACTAGTGACGTGTAATAAAATATTCAGGAGAAACTTTTTGAAACCCAATACCATAGGTCTCATACCTAAAAATGGATATAGATGGTGTGACAATCAGTCGAAAATAGCCGTCCAATGGCTGCTGTGGAAAGAAAGACAAAGGGGTATTAAGATTCAGTATGCTGGTCGAGGGTCTGAAGCATCCATATTCAATATGAAAGTGGATGGTTTCTGTGAGACAACAAAACAAATTTTCGAATTTCATGGTTGTTATTTCCACGGATGTCCTGAATGTATAAAATACAAACGCAATGACCACACTTTCCAAGACCTTACTGTTACTATAGAAATGCGTTTTGAGGCAACCTTGGCGAAAACTGCACGCTTGCGACAACTTGACTATGAAATCATAGAAAAATGGGAGTGTTCTTTTCGAAAAGAGCTTTTGGAAAATCCAGAATTGTGTATTTCCACCGAAAAACACCCCTTACTCGCTCAATTACCTTTGAATCCCCGTGATGCTTTCTATGGTGGCCGAACTATTTAGGGGCCAAGAATGTTTTGACAATCATAAAACTGCCAAGATCTGTGAACAGATAAGGTGTTGTGAAAAGTGCCTTAAAACTGTTCCTAAAAACAGACAACATGTTTGTGGGGAAGTTTTTTGTAAACTATGTAAAGAATTCAAAGCTACTCCACACAAATGCTTCATGTCTGTGGATAATGGCAAACCATCAATGTCAAGAGTACTTTTCATATTTTACGACCTGGAAAGTACTCAAGAAGAAATATTATCAGATGGATCTTTACGACATAAACTCAATCTGTGTGTATATCAACAACACTGTGAAAATTGTCTGGGTACAAACATAAAAGTATGCTGTTGTGGTGTCAGAAAACAAGTTTTGAAGATACGTCCTTTGGACCGGTTCATGGAGTACGTAATGAATCAACGTGTACAATTCAAACAAATTATTGTTGTTGGGCATGCCTCAGGTCTATATGATAACCAATTCCTTTTGAACTATTTACTGACATCGACAAATCTGAAACCAGAGTTGATAACCCATATACTACATATACTACAGCCCAAGCAAGACAAGAATTATATAAATATTTGGAGAAATTAGATATAAGAGTTTTGTATCACGACACAGATTCAGTTATTTATATTTCACGTCCCGGAATGTATGATGTATCTTCAGGTAGTTTTTTAG